GAAAGAAAGTGTGCAATTTGTGGAAGCACAATAAAATTTAAAATATCTTAAAATTATAAAAACCAAACGATGACGTCATCGTGACGTCACTTTAAACTTTGTATACTAGTACCATTATTTACCTACCCATTAAGTTTCATGACAGTCGGACCTTTCCTTATATGTGTATTTTGAAAATCGCATTTTTATGACGTCATAATGATGTCAGATATTTTGTTCAAAATGTTGTGCAAATACCTTTTACCTAACAGACCAAATACACAAAGAATTTTTAATTTTGCATGTTACGTTCATGAGATATGGCTAAAAGGTCAAAAACCTCAAATATTCATATAAAATCTCCGGATGACGTCATCATGGCGTCACCTAATTGGTTTTTTTACCTATAACACATCCCGGTCTTGCCACATACCAAGTTTCAACCCAATCAGGCTTACAGTTCTGTAGATATAGGACAACATAATATGCACGTAAATTTTCAAAAATCAATAAAAAAAAATTGGGTGATGACGTCATCATGACGTCATAGTCTTGGCATAATTTTTGTATGAGGGTCTTCCTTGGCTGTTACATTGATGACGATTCCAGATCGCCAAGTTATAGAAATGGTGGCTTGAAAACGTGTACAAAGTCAATGGGCTAACACGTGTACAAAGTTAACGGGCTAAACAAAATCCCACTGCAGAAAAATTGCACCTTTAATTTGTAATTTGCCTTTGAACTGAAACATTTTTATGAAATATTACTTGATATTCTGACCCTAAGGAATATGTTCAATCGAATGACAGACCGAAAAAAATACGATTTCTCTTTCCTTCTCATAGTAATTCTCGGCTGAGGTTCAGAACTACTCAGTAAGATATCAGTGTTGTATAGGAAAAGACTTGTGGAAAATCCCACTGCAGAAAAACTGCACCTTTAAATACGTAACATAGGGCTTTTCGGCATTATGATTTTTTATTATACGCCCCTGACTATGCGTATGCATGAACATAAAATCTGTCAAGGTTAGCCGAAAATCGGCTAAAACGGTCACTGTGATGTGGACAGGATTTGACCTCGGCAACACGTGCTCTGCAGGCTGACTGACATACGATGTACAGTATGTGCGTAACGTACGTGTATGTACATGTACATATAGACGTTCTGTGCATGTTTTAGAGCAGAGGTATTGTCAACCTGAAGTTTTAAGCGTGCGCAGGGCATGTCCGAGTTCGCTTATTGCCTCGAAGCTTTGATATGTTTTAGACCTACCCTTAAATCGACAATTAAAGTAAAAACTAGCATAAAAACTGCCATGGTTGATTTTTCAGGAATTTTCAAAGGAAAAAGGGTCTTTTTATTATAACTTCCGGTCTGATGACGTCATTTGCCTAAAACTTCGCACACGTCTTAAGTGGGTCAAGGTCATTATATACACCAATATTTAGGCGATTCCGACAAACTTCGCCACAGACATCTATTCAAAATACATTTTTGCTAATTTTCAACCTGTCGCTAGAGGGCGCTCGAAGATTGCATGACGTCATTGGTAGATGATTTGAAGAATACTTTTAGCCAAGAGACTAACACCGTTAAAAGCAAGTTCATTTCTATTACCACTTTTAAATAATAAGCCACTTCCGGTTTGGGCCTTTTTCGACCGGAAGCAAGGGTCACGTGATTGCACGCACACTGAATGAAATAAAGACCTCAACCTACTCTACCACTTGCCGGCAACAGAATGCTGCGGACGCGGACAGTTGATTTCTTATGCATTTTTAAATATTAAAAGTGTCAAAATTTAATTGCCTATAAATAAACACTGGATGACGTCATCATGACGTCATCATTCCACAATGTTGTTTGAATTAGGGTCTTTGCTTGGACAAAGATTGGTGTAAATGAATTACTGGCAAAGAGTCGAAAATGCCCTTTGAAAATTGACAATTTTTTCTTAATGTTTGTGTACAAAGTCTATGGGAAAAATTAAATATTCAAAAATCTATAATAAATTAGTCAATGACGTCACCATGACGTCACTCTTCGGGGCACATCTCTGCTATAAGGACTATGACTATGCTTAATTTGAATGATGTAAGACGAAGATTAATACCAAAAGTGGCACTGAGAAAAAACGTGTACAAAGTCTATGGGATTTAGGCGACAAAAAGAAGAAGAAGAAGAAAGAAAAAAAATGAGAACAGAAAGAAAGGCTTTTTCGCAAAATTGCGAAAAAGCCAACTAGAAATGTGTTTGTGGACAAACACTGAGCTGTTTCGACCGTTTTATTAATGACTGCCGTAAAGGAGTTTCATCCAGGTCGAATGAACATGTACATGCGTATTCTATACAAAAAGTGTCTATCCTACGTCCCTGACAATGCATGAACATAAAATCTGTCAAAGTTAGCCGGAAATCGGCTCAAACGGTCACTGTGGACAGGATTTGACCTCAGCAACACGTGCGCTGCGCGCGGGCTGACTGACTACGATATGTACAACGTACGGGCATGTACATGTACATTGTGGACTGTGCATGTTTTAAAGCAGAGTTATTGTCAACCTGAAGTTTTAAGCGTGCGCAGGGCATGTCCGAGTTTGCTTATTGCCTCGAAGCTTTGAAATATTTTAGACCTACCCTTACATAGACAATTAAAGTAGAAATTAATATAAAAACTGCCATGGTTGATTTTTCAGGATTTTTTTTAAGGAAAAAGGGTCTTTTCATTATAACTTCCGGTCTGATGACGTCATACACCTTAAACTTCGCACACGTCTTAAGTGGGTCAAGGTCATCATATACACCAATATTTAGGCGATTCCGACAAACTTCGCCACAGACATCTATTCAAAATACATTTTTGAAAATGTTCAACCTGTCGCTAGAGGGCGCTCGAAGATTGCATGACGTCATCGGTAGATGATTTGAAGAATACTATCAGCCAAGAGACTAACACAGTTAAAAGCAAGTTCATATCTATTACCACTTTTAAATAATAAGCCACTTTCGGTTTTGGCCTTTTTCGACCGGAAGCAAGGGTCACGTGATTTTACGCACACTGAATGAAATAAAGTCCTCAACCTACTCTACCACTTGCCGGCAACAGAATGCTGCGGACGCGTACGGTTGATTTCTTATGCATTTTTAAATATTAAAAGTGTCACAATTTAATTGCCTATAAATAAACACCGGATGACGTCATCATGACGTCATCATTACACAATGTTGTTTGAATTAGGGTCATTGCTTGGACAAAGATTGGTGTAAATGAATTACTGGCAAAGTGTCGAAAATGCCCTCTGAAAATTGACATTTTTTTAAAAATTTCTGTGTACAAAGTCTATGGGAAAAATTAAATATTCAAAATTCTATAATAAATCACGTGATGACGTCAGCATGACGAAAAGTTTCGGCGCACATCTTCAGATGGTGGTCTAAGTGTGTGCAAGGTTTGAAGTCGATCGGATTTGAAAAAAAGCCAAAAGTGACTTGTAGAACGAAAACACGTGTTATCCTATGAGAAAAAAGTCTGAAAAATAAAAGAGAAAAAAAAAAATAACAGAAACAAGAGCTGTTTCGGTGTGTACACCGAAACAGCTAAAAAAAAAATAACAAAAACAAGAGCTGTTTCGGTGTGTACACCGAAACAGCTAAAAAAGAAAAAAAAAAATCTTAACGAAAACAAGAGCTGTTTCGGTGTGTCACCGAAACAGCTAAAAAAAGAAAAAGAAAAAAAAAAATCTTAACGAAAACAAGAGCTGTTTCGGTGTGTTACCGAAACAGCTAAAAAGTACTCGAGTAGTACTCGAGCACGAGTACCGAGTACGAGTACTACAACACTGCAGTTTACTATACTTCTTTATGTAGCTACATGTACATATGTACGCACAATACTTGTTGCACGTTCAATGCACCATTGTGATAATTGTGTGGAGCTCAGTGGGGTCAAGGGCACCGTAAGAAAATTCCCTATAGCTATAGTAAAACCCATTCTGAATAATTCCAAGTTTGTTCAGACCCATATTCATAACTTTACTGTATCCGATAAGATTTGAAGGTTTGCAAAGTGAAAAATGGCAATAAGATAAAATAATACGGTTGCACCATGTTGACCTATGTGGACAACCAATCTTTTTTGTGAGTTTGTGAGGTTCTGAGAGAGTGAGTTATAAGTCGGCCTGAATTTGTTTTGCATGTTTTTTAACACTCATGCTCCCATGCAGTCTTGGACATGCATGACCTTTTTCAGTTTTTTTATGACTTTTTTTTTAATACACTGTTCATAGTGTGGCTGTCATAAGGTGATGTGACTTTTCGAGGTGAGAAATTCTTGAGAATAAGCTCTTTATTTGCAATAGCAAAGATAGGTCCAGTTCATCATGGTTTTCCTCTACGATTGTTAATCATGGTTAATATCTCAAACATACAGGAGAAAAGACCAAAAAAGGGCTAAACGGCACGTGAAATGGCCAGTAATCTTGTGTTGTACCTCCGTATAGCTCCTAGCCCCATAAATGTGGCCTATTTACTGGACTGCCTCCGTAAACATAGGCCACACATCCACATGTACAAAAACGTGTCGCACTTTGCCAAATTTTGATTTTCACAATTAGGCTTAGTTTGTAGGTTTTTTTGGCTTTAGAAGCATACTCACCCTCTTTATAGGCTAATCAGAAAGTGCTGCCTTTTTCAGATGGCTAATTTTTGTGAAATTTCATGTTGAAATTTTGATACGCAAACGTGTGCAAATGAATTTGGCAATTTCACGAAAATAAACATCTGAAAAAGGCAGCACTTTCTGATTAGCCTACAAAGAGGGTGAGTATGCTTCTAGAGCAAAAAAAACCTACAAACTAAGCCTAAATGTGAAAATCAAAATTTGGCAAATGCGACACGTTTTTGTACATGTGGATGTGTGGCCTATGTTTACGGAGGCAGTCCAGTAAATATGCCACATTTATGGGGCTACATGTGGTATAGCCTACAATACTTTAACGTTGTAAGATCACTGGACTTACCCTGAATGTCCCAACATACGCCAGTCCTTTACTGCCACCTCCCTGGAAAGCCAGGTTCTCGAAGGGGAATTCATAGCCCTCAAATTCTCGTTTCTCCTCTGGTGTTAGAATGGGTTTTCTTTCCACAACGTGTTTCATATGGCTGCTCATTGCTCTCGTTCCAATGCGCACAGTGCCTGCCCAGCTACGTATGCACATGTGCTGACCTATGGGCCTGGAGAAACAATGTGCAGGGGTTTCGTACGTGAGAAATTAAGTCAGAGCTCTCAGTGTTTTTTTTTTTTTTTTACATGAAGCACAATACGTGTAGGCAGTGAACCGTATACGTACACAATGTACGCCGTACTACGAAAGCCCGTTAGTGCCATCGAATGTATAAATTGCTCTTTTGCAAGTTTATGTTTGGTGAATCTTGTTTTTCGGATGTATATGTTTGTGGAATCTTGTTTTTCGGATGTATATGTTTAGCAAATCTTGTTTTTTGGATGTATATGTTTAGCAAGTCTTTTTTTTTCGATGTATATGTTTGGCGAATCTTGTTTTTTGCAAGTATATGTTTCCCGAGTCTTGTTTTTTGCAAGTATAAATTTGGCAAATCTTGTTTTTTGCAAGTATGTTTCGCGAGTCTTGTTTTTGTGAAGTCTATTTTTAGTAACATTCTTGTTTTTTGCAAGTATATGTTTCCCGAGTCTTGTTTTTTGCAAGTATATATTTCCCGAGTCTTGTTTTTTGCAAGTATATGTTACCCGAGTCTTGTTTTTTGCAAGTATATGTTTCCCGAGTCTTGTTTTTTGCAAGTATATGTTTCCCGAGTCTTGTTTTTTGCAAGTATATGTTTCCCGAGTCTTGTTTTTTGCAAGTATAAATTTGGCAAATCTTGTTTTTTGCAAGTATTTTTCGCGAGTCTTGTTTTTGTGAAGTCTATTTTTAGTAACATTCTTGTTTTTAGCAAGTATATGTTTCCCGAGTCTTGTTTTTTGCAAGTATAAATTTGGCAAATCTTGTTTTTTGCAAGTATATGTTTCGCGAGTCTTGTTTTTGTGAAGTCTATTTTTAGTAACATTCTTGTTTTTTGCAAGTATATGTTTCCCGAGTCTTGTTTTTTGCAAGTATATATTTCCCGAGTCTTGTTTTTTGCAAGTATATGTTACCCGAGTCTTGTTTTTTGCAAGTATATGTTTCCCGAGTCTTGTTTTTTGCAAGTATATGTTTCCCGAGTCTTGTTTTTTGCAAGTATATGTTTCCCGAGTCTTGTTTTTTGCAAGTATAAATTTGGCAAATCTTGTTTTTTGCAAGTATTTTTCGCGAGTCTTGTTTTTGTGAAGTCTATTTTTAGTAACATTCTTGTTTTTTGAAAGTATATGTTTCCCGAGTCTTGTTTTTTGCAAGTATAAATTTGGCAAATCTTGTTTTTTGCAAGTATTTTTCGCGAGTCTTGTTTTTGTGAAGTCTATTTTTAGTAACATTCTTGTTTTTTGAAAGTATATGTTTCCCGAGTCTTGTTTTTTGCAAGTATAAATTTGGCAAATCTTGTTTTTTGCAAGTATATGTTTCGCGAGTCTTGTTTTTGTGAAGTCTATTTTTAGTAACATTCTTGTTTTTTGCAAGTATATGTTTCCCGAGTCTTGTTTTTTGCGAGTATATATTTCCCGAGTCTTGTTTTTTGCAAGTATATGTTACCCGAGTCTTGTTTTTTGCAAGTATATGTTTCCCAAGTCTTGTTTTTTGCAAGTATATGTTTCCCGAGTCTTGTTTTTTGCAAGTATATGTTTCCCGAGTCTTGTTTTTTGCAAGTATATATTTCCCGAGTCTTGTTTTTTGCAAGTATGTATTTCCCGAGTCTTGTTTTTTGCAAGTATGTGTTTCCCGAGTCTTGTTTTTTGCAAGTATATGTTTCCCGAGTCCTGTTTTTTGCAAGTATATGTTTCCCGAGTCTTGTTTTTTGCAAGTATATGTTTCCCGAGTCTTGTTTTTTGCAAGTACAGTTTGGCGAGTCTTGTTTCTAGGAAGTATATATGTAGGGACCCGATCTGCTCCTCCCCACACAAAATTGTTGCACCCCTATTTTTATTTTTGGAATAGTCCTACTAGCTAGTACTCTTGGCGACCGTTTTAACCGATTTTCGACTAACTTTTTGTTAAAAAACGAGTTTGACAATATTGATAGTTTCTCTATCAATATTGATACCACTCTGAACGCATCGCAAGTGCATTCATCTATAGGGGTCCACTTGTACTAATTCAAGCCCCATTGAAAACAGTGTAAAATCAACAAAGTTCAGGGCCAAGTAACATGCAAGCCAACATCACTGGGGTTTCTGAAACAAAAATTAAATTATTGTCTTGTCTTTCATCTTTTCATTTCTTTTCAATTTTACGTACATTAGCCAATTACATTTTTAAATATTCACACCCAAATAAAATCACCTCCCGAAAAGTGATAGTTCCCGAGCCTGCATGTAGCCATTTTACAAGTGGCACCCTTCCACTTTCACAGGCAAATAGGACCCATTTTTTCATCCGTGATTTTATCAAGCCTGCCCTCAGATGGAAGCCCCAAAACCAGGGAGTTGATCCTTGGGTATATTTAAACAATTCCACCGTTTTTAAAGCCGAACGGTCTCCGTTTTCAAAAGAAATTGTGGGGGGGGGGGGCAATTTTTATGCTAATCAGCTGGCGTAGAAATTCTCGTTTGAATTAGTTCAGTGCACCCTATAGGCCCTAGCCATGCAGTTGCCCGGATGTTTGCAACTCTCCTTCAATAAAGGTGGCGACGTCTGCAATATCGATGTGACTTTTTCGCCGAAAAAGACCTAAAACTCGCAGTTTCCTGTTAAGATGCCGTTTGCTGATGATAATATTGTTGTTTGCGAGAAGTGATGCAATTATTTCGTCGTAATTAAGGCCTAAATTGAAGTTATAACGAATTAATTGGTGGCATGGCTATACTTTCATCACAAACAACAGCGCCCTCATGATGAACACCGCAGCTATAACAGACTTAAAACAAGTCAGGTGTGTTTACAAACACAAATGCCCCGCCGTGACTATTCCCATGACATAACAGCGCTCTTTTAACATAAACTTACATGTACCTTGGTCACATGGAACGTTCATTGACAGCATTAGTGTCTTCTGTAGGTTTTATATGAATTAATCCCTAATCCCTATGATCTCAGAATAAATACAAGATTTTTGAAGTTCATATGTTAAGGATTTCTCAAGTTATCGCGATGACAAGATTTGTCCGGACACCCCCCACCCCACACACACACCCACACACGGAAGGACAAGGCGGAAACAGTATGCCCCTTCGGCTTTGCCGCGGGGCATACAAAACCAAGATTTGCCAAACATATACTTCCAAAAAACAAGACTAGCCAAACATATACTTGCAAAAAACAAGACTTGGGAAACATATACATGCAAAAAACAAGACTCGGGAAACATATACTTGCAAAAAACAAGACTCGGGAAACATATACTTGCAAAAAACAAGACTGTTACTAAAAATAGACTTCACAAAAACAAGACTCGCGAAACATACTTGCAAAAAACAAGACTCAGGAAACATATACTTGCAAAAAACAAGACTGTTACTAAAAATAGACTTCACGAAAACAAGACTCGCGAAACATACTTGCAAAAAACAAGACTCGGGAAATATATACTCGCAAAAAACAAGACTCGGGAAACATATACTTGCAAAAAACAAGACTCGGGAAACATATACTTGCAAAAAACAAGACTCGGGAAACATATACTTGCAAAAAACAAGACTCGGGAAACATATACTTGCAAAAAACAAGACTCGGGAAATATATACTTACAAAAAACAAGACTCAGGAAACATATACTTGCAAAAAACAAGAATGTTACTAAAAATAGACTTCACAAAAACAAGACTTGGGAAACATACTTGCAAAAAACAAGATTTGCCAAATTTATACTTGCAAAAAACAATACTCGGGAAACATATACTTCAAAAAAACAAGACTGTTACTAAAAATAGACTTCACAAAAACAAGACTTGGGAAACATACTTGCAAAAAACAAGATTTGCCAAATTTATACTTGCAAAAAACAAGACTCGGGAAACATATACTTCAAAAAAAACAAGACTGTTACTAAAAATAGACTTCACAAAAACAAGACTCGCGAAACATACTTGCAAAAAACAAGATTTGCCAAACATATACAGCCAAAAAACAAGACTTGCTAAACATATACATCCAAAAAACAAGATTTGCTAAACATATACATCCGAAAAACAAGATTCCACAAACATTTACATCCGAAAAACAAGATTCACCAAACATATACTTGCAAAAGAGCAATTTATACATTCGATGGCACTAACGGGCTTTCGTACCGTACGTACTTATTTTTTTCTTTCAAAAAAGGTGTGGATCTGTTTCAAGCAAACCAGTGCCCATTATAGGACGTACGTCCAGGAAAGGTTGTATGTACATGTTGCAAATGTCAAAGGATCAGTGCCGCGGTTAGCGCGTGGAGTGACCTCTTCCGTTTTCCAACTCCTCTCAGTATTTCGTTTTGTAAAAAAGAAAGAAAGTAATTTAGCGTTTTCAGCAATTCTCAATATCGTAAACAAGCCTGGTGTGGCGCTGTATGAAACCTGTGGCTGAGTACATAAAATGTCCAAAATGTTTAGCATTTGATGCATTGCCCTTGAATGTATTATTGATGAATAAATGAAATGCGAATAAAAAACAATTATAAAGGGCCTGTCACATTAGATGCGCTCTCATAGGAGACCTTACGGCGACCAAAAATATTAAATAAATTTAACAATCGCAGCAAGGACGCAAGAAAATGATAATTCTGTATCAAGTGGCCAGAAAGTAGCTCAAGCTACGCTCATACTGTGCTCATCTCGCGCTTACGATGGGCTCAACTCGCTCTCTATGCGCCCCTGTCAAGCCCAATTACTCGATCTAGTCGCTGCCGCTGCACTGTCACTGCGCCCACACTACACTCTGCTCGCTATTGATAAGTCCTACGAGCTTGCGTCGCGCTCTTTATCCGACCAAAATAGGCTTACGTGACGTCATCTGCTTTCCATCTTCTGTCCATTTGTTTTCCATAACACAAACCCAAGATAGGCTTTACGGCTTGTGAGAAATGTTCCTTCATCACTTTACTTATTTAAAAGGTAAAATGAGAAGGAGTGAAAAATGCTCACTGAGATCCGAACTCGGATCACCTTATTAGAAGTCAGGACTTCTTACAACCAGTCCA